GCTCATGTAACCATTTCTGACTTTAGTACCAGATATTTCAATTCTATTATTATCTTCTTCTGTTAATAAACAGGTTAATCTGAATCAGTGCAGGGTTGGGTTTACACTGAGCTGTTTCGCAGCTGCAGTCAAAAGAGCAAACTGTTGCATATTGTCCCCTTACAGGGCAATGGACCTTTAATATCTGGGCTGGCCAGGGAAGAGCACACATTTCTGGGGACAGCCGGGATGGGGAGTGTGCTGGGGTCACCCTGCAGGCAGTAACCCAGGCTGGTGGGAGCCAGAGCGTGGCTGGTGTTTGCCAATGGACTGCGGGGACAGGGGTGCTGGCCCAGGGCTGTGGCTACACACAAACACTCAGGGTGTGAGTGGCTGACTGTGAACCGCCCAGGCTGGGAGCTACAATTGCAAAGGCTTGGGAGGCCCCCAGGGTTACGGGGCAGGTGGTGACACAGCCCCTCGCCGGTCTTGTTGCACCCTGGAATGTGACAGTGCAATCATCTCCCTCCCCCTCACTGGTTTGCTCCTCCCTCCTGCCCACAGTCCAGCTCTCTGCTTGTCTGTCTTCAGCCCATCAGGGCAGGCCTCAGGCCTTCTCATCTATTGGGAAAGTGCCCCCTGCACTACCAGGAACAAACCCACAATAACTATGCCACTGGCGATGCTATGACACCTTACAGCCCTATGGGAATGTCAGTAACCCACCCTGCCGCTGGGAGGAGCAGACGGCACTGCACAGGGAGCCAAGTGCCCTGCCAGCCTCCCTCTGCTATTGCCTTGGGGATTACAGTGGTGTCTGGGCTGCAGCCCTACCACCTGCTCACAGTGGAAGAGAGCCCTGGCTGGGCCCGCCAGGGACACTCTCCTCAGCCACCAGGTGCTGCCAATACAGGCGCTGTGCTCTGCTCTTCCCCTCTGCAGGCTAGTGATTTACACACCCCACTTTGTTACATTCAAGTCCCCAGTCCCTTCCTTCTGGATACCTGCAACACACACCGATCTCCTGCCTCTGGGAGGCACGGCACCCCCAGTCAGTGGCTGCACCTCCGTGTCACACGCTCCTTAGCACAAGGCACTTAGACATGTCTCTAGTAAAAGCAACCTGACGTTGATTTAACAGCGCTTGAGATAAGGACTCAAACTAAAGGCAAGTAAAAGGATTTGGAAACATAATATTAGAGGTGAAAGACAAACCGAAGATGCACTCGATGGCCTCTATGCATTAACAAGCTCCTTTCCTTTCCTTTCCCGTCTCATTCGCTGTATCTACCCCAAATGCTCTCATGGACTGGTGCTCTCATGGATTGGTAACTGGTTAAAAGATAGGAAACAAAGGGTAGGAATAAATGGTCAGTTTTCAGAATGAAGAGAGGTAAATAGTGGTGTCTGTACTGGGCCCAGTCCTATTCAACATATTCATAAATGATCTGGAAAAAGGGGTGAACAGTGAGGTGGCAAAATTTGCAGATGATATAAAACTACTTAAGATAGTTAAGTCCCAGGCAGACTGCGAAGAGCTACAAAAGGATCTCACAAAACTGGGTGACTGGGCAACAAAATGGCAGATGAAATTTAATGTTAATAAATGCAAAGTAATGCACATTGGAAAACATAATCCCAACTCTACATATAAAATGATGGGGTCTAAATTAGCTGTTACCACTCAAGAGAGAGATCTTGGAGTCATTGTGGATAGTTCTCTGAAAACATCCACTCAATGTGCAGCGGCAGTCAAAAAAGCAAATACAATGCTGGGAATCATTAAGAAAGGGATCGATAATAAGGGAGAAAATATCATATTGCCGCTATAAAAATCCATGGTACGCCCACATCTTGAATACTACGTGCAGATGTGGTCGCTCCATCTCAAAAAAGATATATTGGAATTGGAAAAGGTTCCAAAAAGGGCAACAAAAAATGATTAGGGGTATGAAACGGTTTCTGTATGAGGAGAGATTAATAAGACTGGAGTACTTGTGGCACCTTAGAGACTAACAAATTTATTTGAGCATAAGCTTTCATGGGCTACAGACCACTTCTTCGGATGCATAGAATGGAACACACAGAAAGAAGATATTTATACATATAGAGAACATGAAAAGGTGGAAGTAGCAATCGGCCTCTTACAGTTGGCATGACTACTTCCACCTCGTCATGTTCTCTGTATGTATAAATATCTTCTTTCTGTTTGTTCCATTCTATACATCTGAAGAAGTGGGTTGTAGCCCACGAAAGCTTATGCTCTAATAAATTTGTTAGTCTCTAAGGTGCCACAAGTACTCCTGTTCTTTTTGCGGATACAGACTAACACAGCTGCTACTCTGAAACCTGTCGTTAATAAGACTGGGACTTTTCAGCTTGGAAAAAAGGCGGCTAAAGGGAGATATGATTGAGGTCTATCGAATCATGACTGGTGTGGAGAAAGTAGATAAGGAAGTGTTTTTTTACTACTTCTCATAACACAAGAACTAGGGGTCACCAAATGAAATGAATAGACAGCAGGTTTAAAACAAACAAAAGGAAGTATATCTTCACACAACACACAGTCAAGCTGTGGAACTCTTTGCCAGAGGATGTTTTGAAGGCTAAGACTATAACAGGGTTCAAAAAAGAGCTAGATAAGTTCATAGAGGATAGGTCCATCAGTGGCTATTATCCAGGCTGGGCAGGAATGGTCTCCCTAGCTTCTGTTTGCTAGGAGCTGGGAATGGGCGACAGGGGATGGATCATTTGATGATTTCCTGTTCTGTTCATTCCCTCTGGGGTGCCTGGCACTGTCAGAAGGCAGGATACTGGGCTAGATGGACTTTTGGTCTGACCCAGTAGGGCCGTTCCTATTTTCTTACATAAATCAGTTCCTCACTGCTGGTCCCATCCGGCATGTTGGGCTCCCCCTGTCACAAGACAGCCCCCACTGGCAGAGTTACTCCTTTGTAATGGATGCCTCCTAGTTTACTCCTGAGGGAATTCTGCACCACTGCGCAATGCAGAATTTTGCAGAAATTAATGTTGGGCGCGCAGAATTTCCTTTCCCCCCATAGAAATAGGCTGCAGAGATGTTAGGGGCTGCTGGACCCGGCAGAGCCCAGCTCGCAAATAGAAGACAAGGCCAGGGGGAGGGAAAGGGAATTGGAGGGTTCCTAGCAGCTGCAGTTTCCCACATGCCCTGAAGGAGGCGGCGGCACGCAGGAAACTTCATACAAGCCCGGGACCCAGCATCAAGCTTGGGCTCTGGGGGGGGTTAGTATCTGTGAGTGTCTGGGCCAGGGGGACCCCCGCAGCTGGGCTCTGGGGGGTTAGTGTCTGTGAGTGTCTGGGCTGCGGTGGGCACAGCTGGGCTCTGGGGGGTTAGTGTCTGTGAGTGTCTGGGCTGC